AGTAATGCCCTAACCCAATGTCCCAGATGGACCCAACAGTACCTCCCTCACCAAAAGTCCCTGATAGACCCCGCAGTACTCCCCTAACCCAATGTGCCAGATAGATCCAACAGTAATACCCTAACTCAATGTCCCTTATATACCCAGCAGTACTGCCCTATGCCAATGTCCCTGATAGACCCAACAGTACTGCCTAACCCAATGACCCTGATAGACCAAATAGTACTCTCGTAGCCCAATGTCCCTTATAGACCCAACAGTACTGCCCTAACCCAATGTCCGTGATAGACCCAACAGTACTGCCCTACCCGAATGTGCCTGATAGACCCAGCAGTACTGCCCTAACCCAATGTCCCTGAATGACCCAAGAGTACTGCCCTAACCCAAGGTCCCTGACAGACCCAATGGTACTCTTCTAACCCACTCTCCCTGATAGGGCCAATAGAACTGTTATAGCACAATATCCCTCATCGACCCAAGAGTATTGCTTCCTAACCCACTCTTCCTGATAGGGCCAAGAGTACTGTTATAGCCCAATGCCCCTGATAGACCCAACGGAACTGTGTCGTAACACAATATTCCTAATAAACCCAACAGTTTGGTCATAGCCCACTGTGCTTAATATATGCAACCGTTCTCTACCGTAACCGCAATTTCTCTCATAGACCATCATACTGTCATAGCCCACTGTCCTTGATATATGCAACCGTATTCTTTCATAACCCACTTACCCTGATAGACCAACATGCTCTCATAAGCCACTTTGACTGATAGACCAACAGTGCTGTGTCGTAGCACACTCCCACTGATAGACCAACAGTGCTGTGTCAGAACCCACTCTCCCTCATAGAATAACAGTAGTAGACTGTCATAACCCCTGTCCCTAATAGACCCAACACTAGAACCCTAACCCACTGTCCTTGATAGACACAAGAGTACAGTCATAAGCCCGTGTCCCGGATAGACCCAACAGTACTGTCTTAACACTCTCTAAGCCTGATGGACCCAAAGGACTGTCATTCACCAGTGTCCCTGATAGACCCCAACATAACACAACATTAACCACTCTCCCTCATAGACCCAACCGTACATCATAACCCACTCTCTCTGAGAGACCCCAAAGTTCTCTCCTGTACCACTGTCCCAGATCGACCCAATAGTATGGTCTCATAACCCACTG